ACGAAGGAACAAAGAACTCAAAAACAGATAATTTTATTCATCAACGATCAATCCCCCAACATCTGCTCACAACTCTTAATAAATAGAGTTCCAAAAACTAAAAAGTCTTACTTAATTTAAGAAAAGAAATAATAATAACTTTCCTAAATCAACTAAATAAAATATGCACTAAATAAATATGATATGCTAAATAAATTAAAATAGGAAACTGAATAATAAGATAACGATCAATGGCGACGACGGTCTCGTTTCTCCATAAAGGCAAGTGCGATCTCGCCGCCATCACCCACTCTCTACTACCCTCTCTCAACAAATCTCTAACCTTATCTAATCTATGCCTGTCATCAGAAAATTGGCAAACAGGTTTAAAAGGAGGATTAGTAGGAATCCATGGAGAATCCCAAATAGAAATACTAGCCCCATCACCCACTTTAAACCTAACCCCCAGCTCCAGAAACTTCCTAACACCAAGGAGACTTTTCCACATCCAAGAATCCTGAGGTTTGGAATTAACCTAAAAAATACTGGTCTTCCAAAAATATTTACCTTTAATAAGCTGGCTAACTAACAAATTGGGTTGAGTAATAAATCTCCACAGCTGTTTAACCAACAGAGCATCATTAAATGTTGTGAGATCTTTAAAACCCAACCCTCCCTTATCCTTATCCCTTACTAATCTATCTCACCCAGCCCAGTGAACCCTACCTCTGTATAATAATTAATACTACCTCTTTTTTAAAATAAGTGTCGTTTTGACTTTTTTGATTCATCCATTTTACTATGTATCTAGACATATTTTTGTCTAGATACATAGCAAAATGGATGAATCAAAAAAGTCAAAACGACACTTATTTTGAAAATGAGGGAGTATGTTGGTATATCCGTAAAAATTATGGCTAAATTGTGCGTGTGTGTGCCGAAAGCCAAGATAATATGTTGGTTATCCTCTTAACGACCACCTAAACCTCTGCCATTACTGATCAAGAATTGGTTACACACAAAAGCCTTGAAAATTTTTGCCTTTATTTTTCTTCTAGTTGAAACTCTCCCTTAATCTTGTTTTTCTCTCTTTCTGTTTGTTCTTACCATTGCTATTTGCTAACCATTTACACCATGGGTTTTTGTTTTTAGCCCCTCCATAGATTCTACGCATACACATACGGGAATCTGGAAAACCAGAGCGGAATACATCACTTTCTCTCGATTGATCTCTATATTTGTACAAACATAAGAAAGATCAGACCTTTTTTGTAATTAGTGTTTTTCAGTCCTTTTTGGTTTTGAAGCCATTGATTTCCAGCCTTATGGTTTTTATCTTTTCATCGTTTCCATGGCCGCTGGTGCAAAGGTTTTTGGTGAGGCAGCAGTTCTGGAGATGAAGTCGCCAGCTGCTATTGTTTAACCTTCATCACCGAGTGACCGTGGCCCTGCCGGTGAAAAAAACATGGAGAAAATTGAAAATTCATATTGTGAGATGACTGAGGAGTCTGGTGTACTAATGAGGTCAAGGGCTCTGACGTGGACTCGAACGCCCATTCAAAATCGGAACTTGGAATGAACGACATTGTCGATATGCTGAAGAAACTGAAGCTGAATCCCCTGGCTAAGGAGTTCTTTCCTTTATCCTATAATTATGGCCACATGGGTGCTTACAGTTTTGTGTTTTACAATAACAATTTGGGAAATGATGGTTTCAAGAATAACCTTAGGGTACAGTACACACACTGTGCTCACTCTGATTGATTTTGAACATGCACCTTGTATTGAATTAGTTTCTTTTTGTGGTGGTTGATGATGATGTTCTAATTCCTTAGCTCTTTATTGTCTTTTGGGCATTTCTGTTGACATTTCTGTTTGTTGTGAATTGTTTGTTCTATCTTTTCTATTAGTTCTGGATTGTACACCTGTAAGCACAAATCGTATGCATGTGTATATATATAAGATGAAAGTTCGATACTAATACTCTAACAGTCACTACATTGATAAACTATAGACCTGTTTGCATTGTCTTGACTTATGTTTTACAGTCTTATTTATTTGTTTTTGCTTTTGGAACTTGGACTATTATTCTTTTAGCTAGTCAGGTTGTGTAAGTTTAGGGTGTCACATACTTTATCCGGCATCTTTCAACCGAATGAGGGAGTTAAAGTGGGTTGGGAGTTGTATTCCTATACTATATTCCTGCTGTAAGTTTATTCCTGTTGTAAGAGTGACTTAGATTTATGCTTGCAGAATGGATTTTCTTATCTAGATTGTCATTTCATGATATTGACTGTTTATGTCAAATCTGGTTCTTCATGAAGTATTGTTAGAGCATATTGCATTGAATCCGAAACAAACATGTGAACTTCTTTCACAATTGTTTTACGACATTTGAGTTGCAGAATATGGACTTTTTAACTTTTGTTCATATAAGTAGATCGATTTGGTTTGGAGATGTGTAAACTGACCTTCAGCTACAAGAAATATACAGTTCAGCTACTGTGCATATTAGTTGATGTGAACCTGAGATTAAGCTGCAATGATGATCCTGGGTTCAGTACATGGGTTGCAGATTTGGAAATATATTAAGCTACACTTACATGCATGACCTTTGTTATTGTGTTGCATATGAATTGCAATCATGTAACTCTTAGTATTCGAAATCCTAATATGAATTACTTAAATTGTTATTTGTCCTGAATCCCTTAAGTAGTCTTTTATGCTATATGGCGAGTTTTGTCCGCTTCATAAACTTCAATTTGTTTATCGAAAGAGAGTTTGTTACTTCCAAATACACTTTTTTTTTCTTTTTTTGGGTCGTCTTTTTCTGATTCTGCACCCTTATTTCTGTTTGTCAGAGAAGAAGTAATAACAACTCAAGCAGGAGGAGAGGGAGTGGCAGAGCTTTCAAAGCTCAAAGGGAAGACAGCATTAGGCGAACTGTCTATGTTTCTGAGGTTGATCACAATGTAAGGATCAAATTGATGAGCTAGATATGACGTGATATTTTAGTAAGTTTCCAGGATTCTAACTGGAGATCTCTTGCCTCTTAAACTTAAAGATCACTGAGGAGCGGCTTGCTGCCTTATTTAGCAGCTATGGTCAAGTAAGTTATTCTTCTCTAGAATATTTCATTTGAACTGTGTTATATTGCATTGTTAATGATGGGATCCTTTCACGTTGTCATTTATATTATTATATGAAATCCTAATTTGTGATATTGATGAATGCTGTAAACTTGATCAATCAAATCTAGGAAATACTGAACCATGATCAAGCATCACGTAACAGACTATCTGTGCGAGCTTGGTACTATATGTCCCTGTGTAAATTCTTGATCCTCACGGTTTCACTTTCTCTTGTTCTTTGTTACCACTTTCTTACATATCAATAAATAACATTATAAGTGTGAGGATGGAAGAATTGCTAAACTAAAGGAAGAAAACCTTACGTAGGACACCTGCAAAGAATTTGGTTACCACTTTCACCAGAACTCTTTATCCTCAGTTGTAAAGAAGCTTTAATGCTACTGGTTCAATTTTGCCCTGGTATTTTGAATATAGGAGTAATTTCAATCTCAACACTTCAA